TTTTCTGAAATGGTCAGGCCTGGAGATTAAGGACACAAAATGTGCAGTTCTGTATGAGAGGAGGAGTGGAGGGAACAGGTGGTACTGCTCAAAATCTGATAAATGTCCAGTGTTTACAGTAGCAACAAAACCTCTTCACGAGACATACACTTATCTTGGACATAAAATTGATATTGCAGGAGAATGGAAAGAGCAAGTAGACATCATCCTGTCAGAGTACACATGCAGGCTGGACCTGATTGATAAATGTCCACTGACTTTGAAGCTGGAGGCTATTAGACTGGTGGCACTGTCTAAAGTACAAGATCTGTTCTCCAACATTCATATCCAGCAGAAAGTGCTGAGCGAAATAAATAACAAAACAGTGAGCTTAGTGTGAAAGTGGTTTGAACTAAATACACATAGCACTCGTGACATTATTTTTCATCCCCAATGGGAAGGAGGACTGGGGGTACCAAACATGATATGGGTTTATACCAGCATGCGGATTTCCCACCTTCTGAACATGCTGAATAATGATGACAACGATGTTAGGGAGCTGGCTCGATCCTCCCTGTTCCTGGACCTCAGGAGACGCAAGGTGCCGTTAGCCAGGGAGTCAGAGCCCCACTTCCTTGGCTTCAAAAGAAAATCCAGCGGGAAACTGGACACTCACTCTGCTGGTTTTGGTGTCTGGTCAGACTGGCCGGACCTGATCGATCTCTGTGTAAGAACTGGAGTATCACTGAAGTGGGTCCGGTCTGACTCTGAGAGTGTGAGGGTCTCTGAGGATATCATCACTGACCCCCAGACTTATGTCAGAGCAACAGCCACATTCGGTGGATATAGCCACCCGCTAACATCCGCAGGTGCCCGGCGAACTCTCATGGATCTACATCAGTATCACCAAAAACAACACTGGACTGGACTGAACCTTCAGGGAAAACTTGCATGTCTTCCCTCTGCTGATCACTCTGTTTCTCACTCATTTCTCAAGAATACTGCACTCAGTGAGGACATTGCC